TCCTAACAGTAAAATGTTCACTGTTTATAATGCTTTTTGTAATTGTTGTAACGTTGTGATTCCAGCATAACCTCTTAGGGGAATAGCAGTTTTCAGACTGTGCGTAGAGAAAATATAATTACATGGAACTTGTATATCAACCTTCGAGGCTATAATTTATTGTAACTGAAGGTAAGTACAATTGCCGGTTATAAATGTGAGTACCTGTTCTCTTCTGTCATCTTTCACCTGGGAATCGATTAAATTAGGGAGACTCGTTTGTGAATTTTTCTTGAATTCTGTTCTGCATTTTAAACTCGACCTTATAAATTATGTAATCTGTTGCTACAACCTTCTTATCCAGCTCAGCGACGCCTCTTCTTATTCTTCGGTATTCACAATGAATTTAACTTCAGTTAATTTAATTCAATTCACGATACAGTAAAATGATATTACCCCTGATAACGTCTGCACGAAAAGAAAAGTAACCACTGTCGCAGAATACACATCGAGTCTGGTGCGACCGTTAAGGCAGGTGCACACGCGTGATTTCTTTATAGCCGCGGGTGAACGATAATTTATGGTAACATATGCGCTCGCTACCGTCCTATCCGATTTACGTATTTAATTAAAATCTGGACACAAAACACTGGTATCCCTATTAGCTGATAACAAAGCGGACTTTTGTGCTGCCCTGGATGCTAAGAACGTGAGAATTGTACAACTACAGACGAGATATAGGATAGAATGGACATCGAATGTATTTGTCTGTCACCTTCGATTAGGGTTCTTGAAGGTCCAATAACATTTATAGTATCACGTCCGATGTAACCGGCAGCTATGTAAATATGGTTGTTTATTTGTCTTCACAAGTTTTAGTTCTTTCAGTTATGCAATGAAAAATTTTCATTTATTATTTGTCATATTAAAACACTTAAGAGTACTTAGGAAACTACGCATACGAATGTTACGTCGGTATAAATAACCACGGATGTCGGAATAACAGCGCGTACCTCTGTTAGTCGTTACCTTAATTATTCTCCGGGCAACGAACACGGTTCGGGTTTGTATGTTCGTGCATTAACGTGCTTGTAAATTCTATGCCGCGTATATAAATCTTATCAACAAATTGCAATTACGCATTCTGTACGAAGTTGCCTGGTTCCTTAGGTATCTACCATGAATCACGTTGATGGAATTAACGACAGAAAAGAATGTCTGGTGGTAGAGGAGAATAAATATAGTTCATACCTTTAGGATTCGGTATAGACCACTTTATTTACTGACAATTCATGTTTCTATGTCGTGAGTAAAAAATGTAAGGAGGTTTCTTGAAACGTCAAAACTACGATAAGAAATGTCATGTAAGTATGAGCTATATAAATAAGTTAATGCGAATATTAATGTCTATAGATATATCTTTGGATAATAAAATGAAACACATTTACAATTCTTAGCTTTTTGTAATTTTTGTCCAAACGCGAATTTCGAAGTCTCTTCAAAAGGGTCTTGCAGAGACATCTACAACGCCATCGGTATTCAAATCAAAACTGCACCGTGCTGCATCGGTAATAGTCAACCACTGTAATATCGACGTTCCACACTGTATCGTGTACAAAACACATTCAAAATTTATTTTTATAACAATGTCTCGATTTGTCGTTGATCTTATTCGCTTATTGTTGTGTGTTTGTACTATATCTTTTTTTAAATACATGCAGGGTTTCGTTGTTCCGTCGGTTACTGTGAAAATATAACAGTCTACAATAAAACCAGTCTAAAAAAGTAGATTCTCTGAAAACCGATTTGCATTGTGATGCATTGCTATAAACTTGATCGTCTCGAAATCGTTCCTCCTACTGCGCTAGAATAATAAGGCGTCCTTAGCTGAAACAACAGTTCTTTGAGCAACAACTTCAGTTCTGTGTCGCCGTTGTCACTTCCGTGCTCGCCGTTCGTTATCGGCCTGAAAAAAACACGTAGGTACTTTCTTAAAGTTGCTGGAAGTTGAGGTCGTTATAGTGGAATTATTAATTAAAGCGCAAAGTGCTTGCGGTTCACCGTCCCCCGACGAAAGTTCTCCATCGATTGCACCATAATTTACTTACCCTTTGCTTACTTTTTGCAACCGGATCAACGCCTCCTTGAGGTAGGCTGGACTGCCGGCGGATGAATCAGGCAAACGATGTTTGTTATAACTGAATCGAATTTTTCGAGGAATGCGACGTCTCGAGTACAGAAACGATTTGAACCGAGGGTGTAGCCATTTGTCGTTGAAGATTTTGTGCGACATCATATTATCTAAATGACTCATAAATTCGGTCTGCTTCAGCAATTGATTAATATGACCCTGAAATGATCTATTCTGTATATAAAAAATATTGTTTTCCGTGTCTCGTAATACGTAACCCTTTCAAAGAAAGATCGTTGATCAATTGACATCAATGAAAAAATATTAAATCTCTTGCAGTAAAGCTTTCTTTCACCGGACAAGATTGAACCGAAGATATTTACAGATTCCTAATCGATATCAAAGATACTCATGGGAGGAGTATCGACGTTTCTTACCTGCCTCTACGAGATCTTGGATGTCATTGACCGCGAGACCGACCATCAGGTTCATCAGAGCGATACTATCGAGCATAACGAAAGCAAGGAACACGACCTTGCTCATGAATGGTAGGAAGGAGTTCCCATCCTTCCCGTCCGCGAACAGATCCCCGTATTCGTACTCGCCCGTCATCATTACCACGGTCTTCACGAAGGCCCTCCAGAAATTGCGAAACTGGTCCTTCCCGCGGAACAAAACGGCGAAGCTGAACGCGAATCCGACAATCAGGCAGACGAACGCTAGGAGAACCTGAAAGGAAATAAAAAGCTCCCGGATGCACGTTGTTATAATCGCGAGGGTGGCGGGCTCGCGTGTAGGGGTAGGCAAGTGGGTCCTGATGGGAGCCGTATCACCGAGGAGACATTTAGAATCTTGGTCCTCCCATCCGTCCCCCTCTCCCAGCTTTTTTCATTTCTAACGATATTCGTCGGAAGGGAAGAGCCTCCGTCGTGTGGTGCCTTTCGTTCCGATTAAATGCGGATCTTCCCGTAACACAGACGAAATTAAAATCCACCCCAAGTCCCGGTATTAAATCAGGGTTAACGTTGGTACCTGTTAAGACCAACTCGTGAAAAACGTTTTATAGGCCGCGGAATACGTCTGGCTTTTTATTCGCGGTGTTCCAACGTGTCTGCGGCGACGAGGAAAATTGTAAGTTCTTGTAATACAGAGTATGATCGTTGTGTCTCGTTATTTTCAGTCAGTATAGTCGGGCGGATGTAAATAAAAATAATTATCACGCATCTCCAGTCGCGGATGGGTTGTATAGCTATCGATCGTTCCATCCACTGACCTTCAGAATATTCGTCAGCACCGTGGAGAACATAAGTATGTAATATCCGCACGCTGGAGACGACCGATTACCAGCATCATTTGTATCCAGAGAAGTAAGACCGCCGTGCTGATGGTACGTAGCGTCCGTTGTGAGTAATGGGGACGCTGAGGGGCGTTTAATACATCTCCCCTAGGCTCGGTCTCTTCTGTATACCCACTGGACTGCGAAATGCTCAGCGACACCGTCGCGCACGCAAACGACAGCCACAACTCGAACTGCTTTAAATAGTATCTGCAATTGAAATATACATGTATTTCTTCTATTTCTTCGATTTTCTTTAAATTGTACGAAGATAAACGATATTCCATGCACACGCGACCCATTCGTCAAAAGTATTGCCGCACCGAAAGGGTTAATAAACAATTTTGACCCTTGTGTAGGCAACCAAAATATTCAAGGTTATTGAGCAATCGAAATATACTTCTATACTTACAGATTAGATAAACATAGATAATTTTACTTTCATAGTTTTCCGAAACTGTTAGTTTCCCTTCCAATAATATACCAAGTGCTGGTTTAGACAAGAACATAAAAAATTGTGAAAAGAAATTTAGAAATTGGTACCTGGATACCCGATTACCTACACAAGGGTTAAAATTGCATGCTCGGGCGCCTGTTCGATAGCAACCTGCTATACACCGCCGTCACGGGGATGCAACCAAAGTTTCCAGTAATAATTTTAGTAACAACATCTGTGTAACATTTATGACTCCGTCATAACCACTAACGGACTCCAAATCTCATTATGTGAATACTCTGTGCTACATTCTAAGTATCTTTCCATAATAGACATTCAAATGTGAAGCACTTAGCGCTCAGGAGGTTGCGTTTTTATTCCACGTAGACGTCAACAAAACCTTCAATGATTTCCTAATAATCAGCTGTGTACACGTTTCAAGCATATACCAGCAAATAATGACAAAACTTGTCTAAAAAACCATAGCCATCTGTTTCCGCATTTGGCTTGGACTTTACAGGCAACGCCAACTGACAAAATGCTAAAACAAATTGCCAGAAAGTCTTGCAACATGACCTATGTCAAATTCAAGGTAGAACCGGAACAGAGTCTGCGCGAGCCAATTTGCTGCCAGTATGCGCGCAAGTTGTTTATAACAAATCATGCATGAAACTTGTAACCATAACTTTATAACAGGCATTGAACAAAATTTGCCTTTGCAAGTTTGCCTGAATGGGATGTAAACAAACACCCGATTGACTTCAGTTCCGTGCAACAAACTCCATAAAGAACCATGTCCTGCATAATCGCCGACAACGGTGATAATATCAAATGTATTTCAAGCGTAACGTTGCTCCGTTACTCGTCGTACGAACCGGCTCAAGGATCGCGTTGAATACTCATGAACGCGTTGGGTATGCACCATTCGATAACGAATCTGTCAACAATGGATAACGGGACGGTTTCGTCCAAGAGCGACGTCGGAGGAGGCCGATTCATCGGCCGAAGAAGTCCGTTCCCGCTCAGTCGGCGACCGTTACAACTGCACGCGGAACGACGAGCGCAGACGGAGGCTCGATTCTCAAGTTCAGGTACATGTACACTCGCGTTCAGACCCGTGGTGTGTATGGAATAGTGTGTATACCATTTCCAAGCTGACGCGACCTTAGCACGAGTTCCATCGCATGCATATACACACACACGTACGCACACACTGTCCATGCTTTGCGTTAACACACGTCCGCACGCTCAATCAACTGGTGAGTATCGCGTTACCTCGCAGAACTGGGGGCCCAGTGTGCGCTTGACCACGCTGCCGAGAGGATCCTTTGGAGAACCGTTGCTCGGAGGTACACACCGTTCGCAGAGATCCCGACTCCAACATGCCGAACTGCCCGAAGTGCGACAAGCCCGTCTATTTCGGTGAGTGAAAAATTCGAATTTCTGCTTGTTAAAATCGAATTAGCGAATCGAGAGACTATGTAGCTGTAGAATTTTGTAGTCTGAATTGAACTCAGTGTGGTGCCGGGATCAGGTAGTTCCTGTTTGGGTGGGGATAGGGTAAAGGTTTAGGTGTGCTGGAGAGTCGAGTGCTTATTTCTTGAAGTCCAAGTAGGTGCTGTAGATGAAAGAATTTTTATAACGTATTAGTGAGGTAAAGAACTTTTTAGCTGATATTCAATGAATCTTGATAAGTATTTGCATTTATGCGGACGAAGACGTGTAGACAATTGGCCAGTTAAATTGTTTAGCGCTACAAATGCGACGAATGATTATCCGAGAAATGGAACTTTTTTATCGTTAAGCAGACGAAGGTTTTTCGAAGATATGTAAGCTTAGTTTTCAAGTTTTGTGGTTTTGTAAATAACGGTAACTACGTAATGATCGCTTTTATTTTAAGGTGGGACTATAGTATTATACAGTTGTGCTAAAGTAACTGTGTGATAGTGAAAATGTTTACCTAGGTTAAAGGTACATGGATGCACATATAATTGTCGTAAGGTGAAATATTCTAATCATCATTATACGAGTTTACTAACGAGTCATTTTGACTACTTTGGTAGTTCCACTGTTAAAAAATCCTATTCATTGGCTTCAGTTTAGTCAGTGTACGAATGTGCAAGTATATCCTTAGCTTTCCTTCGTTATTGGAAATTCTTAACCTAGATGACGAATCCATCTACCTCTGACGCAAACGAAGCGTTCCATTATGACGCCAGCCGTTTGCCTCTTTTCGTACTTTCCCATCGACAACGAAAAATGCACTCACCTGTTCGTAATTTCGCGTATTCGGTCGCGAAAACCGGCGACCGCTGGAAATGACGACACCAATGATGTCATTAGACGACCTCGCGGTCCACCTTGACAAACATTATGTCAGCCTCGGCCCACTGTATACAAGCAGACGCGTAATGTAGGATAGTGAGTAATACGAGTCACTAGGAAGGAAATTTTATACAATGAAATACGCGTGATTGTGTATAGGTGTAGTTCGCGTGATTTGTGTTATAATTAAATACGAATGACTGGTTGTGGAATGTATCTGCAGGCCGACTTGCAACGATCCGAAACGTCTTTCTATTTTTCTTGTTATTTCTATTATTAGTATGCGTTATTATAATCACCCGCGATTGTAGTCACGGTCGAACGGATGATATATGCAAGACTCGCTGGATTCGCGATGGCAAAACGTGGCGCGTGAAAAGCCGTGGACTATAAAGATTAGTGAAATTGTCAATTGTAATGGCCATTATTGAAATGCATTTATGACTATTCTATGAGATATCGTAAACATGTTCATTGTCGTAATGTTATTTTGTGCGACTCTTTTAATAGCATTGACACGGACGTTAGCATTCAGATAATTTTTTCATTTGATTGTACGTGTCGTCTGTTTTATCATTAGACTACGGAGTTTATTCATTTATACGTAGTGTCCGTGTGCATGCAGAACTGTATGAAATAAAAAAATTAATATTGTTGAACACCGTTTTCATTTGACTTGGTTATGGATCTCGTTTTTTACAATTCGATTTACAAATCAAAACACGTGGTTTAGCTCGAAAACACATGCTATTTCGTGATGTGAACGTATCAAATGCGACATTATGCAAATTTTCACAAACGTGTTAAACAACTTTGCACTTATAATATTAACAAATGCAGTTATAAATATTATCATTACTAACGTTCGATGTCACATCAAAGTAGCCTTCAATATTTTCAATTAACACAATGCACCCGTCGCTCTGCTCGACTGCACGTCTAACGCTCTAAAAATTAGCCTTGTTGTCACGTTTCTGCGTATCTGCAATGTGCACTTGATTCCACATTCTTCTCATATAGATTAGGTTGTTACAACTTAAACAGGTTATATCATAAACTTGTCACAAGGTTCTATATTCAAATTTCCTTAATTACTAGCTGGAATTAATTTTCAGGATTGACTCTACCAACGACGTGATACTATTATCTGAACCTTGTCTGTTATCCTTTTCATAAAAACACTACACTTATACTCGAGACTGAAGTCCTTCATTCCATTTCCTACATTAATATTCACATTATTGACAATCTCCTGGATGATCTACAACAAGGCTGTCTATATATATAATGCTCGAAAAATCTATTAAATTTTTTCCTCTCCTAAATTCACAAGACACATCTACCATCCACTGAACAACATCTAAGAATCAAATACCTACGGACCACTGTTTCTGTCATAACCAAATTGAAATTCTCACCTGTCCCCTATTCTTGCGACCGTAGAATTAGAGGATCAGCATTTCTACCGTCCTTTCCTCCTGGCTCTCCTAAACCTCTATCCCTACTGACGGACTGAAAACGCGTACCCCCGTATAGGAGTTTAGAGGCCAATGACCTTCCCACTTTGAAACATTTTTCCGCGATACAAGGAAAAAAAGAGTGTCGTCTCTCTAATTCGCCCCTTGCCTCGGCAACCGTTCCTCCGCACGCCTACTTGCGCCGATCTGAAAGCCCCCACTCACGGTATACGCAGCCGGGCGAGCGTCAGCGTGACGGGCGCGCGCGAGCGCGGGAGTAGCGACGCAGCGCATTCAGAAAAATCCGCTTTCAGCACTAATAGTGCTTTAACGGCCGTCTAAAAGGCCGCTCGAAAGAGGAAGCGCGCAATTAAAAGCGAGCCTCTCTGAATACGAAGCTTCCACTCGCGCGCCCGAAGGGAACGAGTCGTCGATGCCTCCTCCGGTTCCGTTTATCCGCGCCAGTCTTCGATGGCGACCGCAGACGCACTATAAGCTGGCTAAAGGCGGGTCTTCCCATAAGCGTCAGATACGTGCGTCCGCGTTTAAACGAAGTGCGATCTATACATGTTTCTCCATTCAGTTCATTGTCATCGACTTGAAACTTCTAAAGAGCGTTTGCTTCGGACGCGTCAGATGTTTATCGAAAATTTCACTTTAAATGTAGCATTTCATATAAGCGTCAGATATGTGCGTCTGCGTTTAAACGAAGTGTAATATATACATATAGATATGTGTCTCGTATAATTCCATTGTTTTCGACGTGCAATATTTGCCACAGTAACAATGGAGAATCAAACGCAGGCGCCTGACGCCGATCGAAAATTCTTCGTTAAGGTTATCGCGAGAGTTCGTTTGACATTTTCCTCGAGGTTGATTTGTGGCTGAATGTTAAGGCTCTAATTGCTTTTTTCACAAAATTAGGAATCATTAATCATGTTGAGACTGTTTAAACCACCTTTGAAAACATTTTTTTCTTTTTTTTATAAACAATATGTTTGCTCACGATAAATAATGAAGTAGTAGTCACAGTAATACCGTTTTTCCAATATTTGGATGTTATTTAAAGAAGCCCCATACTGCCGATCGGCAAGAAATATTCTAGATATTTTGACTAAAGCAATAAAGTAGGTGTCTACTCTAGTACATAAACGTAGTTAGCAGGTTAAAGTCCAATAGATCAATCAGAAGCCACTAAAAATACAACACTTTACATTTGACGATCTAATATTTCACAGACCAAGTCGTTCCCGCTGAGTATACTTACATCCAAGATTTGAAACTCCCAACGTAACATCTTATACCCACACATGGGCGTAGCCACGTTATCAGTTAGGAGGGGGCAAAAATATTAACACATCGTCTGCCACAGTGAAAAAGGCTGTACGTAGCCAGACACACTTTATTTTGTTTTTAAACTCATAAATCGTTCAAATTGTATGCGTTTTGTTAATAGAGGCTGTTGATCGTGTTTCAAATTATACTACAATATTAAATATTATGCAAAAATTTGGTGACTCTGGGAAGGAAGGGGGGGGAGGTCAAAATTCAATTTTTTTCTTGTAGGGTGGGGCAAGAACCTCCCTCCCCGCCCCCCTTGGCTACTCCCATGTATCCACACAACTATTATTACACTTTACGTCTTGAAATTTCAGGTGTATGTGAGCTACTTTTCGATCGGGGTTAACTATGAGTCTTTGGCCAAAGATGGATTTAATTAGTCGTCGACACGATTCTTTGACGTTCGCCAACAAAGTAACTTACCGTTCGTCTCCGTCGAAGAGGATGAACCGCGACTGCATGTCGGAAGGGCGAGTTTCGCGAAGAAGGCATTCGCGGCTTTTCAACCTGCGTTTTCTTTGTTTCCGAACGGGGTATTCTACGGCGATGTGCGCCGTAAAGCTGGCGAGGCTTTTTGAGCCTGCTCGTGAGAGATTGCCCGGGACTCTTTGAGAAATCGGGAACCGTAGGCTTTGAAATAAGCCACGTTTAAATGATTTCTTAGCGTCTGCCGAAGCGCGTACCTCGTCCGGTATTTCGACTTAATTTTTGCGAACGGTTCGCGAGATCTGACTGAAGGGAAGCCTTTCCAACGACCGCCCGGCTGATTTCGAACTGTTTCAAGCATTTCTCGACTTCTTTTCCGATCTTATGGCTGGTTGATTCGTTTCAATTAAACGGGAAACCACGTTGCGGAGAATCTAATGGCTTCTGATACTCATAGGATTCTTAACACAGAGGAAGCAGTTTATGGTTGCCTGCAAAAATGTATGTTATTCGAAGTCGGAACGATAATAACAGTATATGCGAAAATGATAAAGTACGATGCTCGTTTGTAACAAGAATAATGGTCTAAATGCAACTTTTTATTACTATACATATTAAGAATCTTTTGTACGTAGTTTCTGTTTTCTCTCAATAAGCAAATGCCTGCCATGGGGAATAAATATGTTCTTCCAGGCAGCTCAGTTACATGGAAAAGATATTTCTCTGGTGGGTGGGCAAAGGAGTATATGTCAGAATTATTAGTTTTGTAGAGAAGCGCTTATAATATTATATTTAATATTAAATATTATAAGTGGCTCTCTGCAAAATTAATAATTCTAATTTATATTCTCTTGCCCGCCCACCAGAATTTACTCGATTTCGACATTCTTCAAACCAGTTCGAAGTTTTGTATCCTTTTTCTTACACACGAGCCAAATAGAATAATCGTAGAAGCTGTAAATAACAGAGGGCTCGAGTAAATTTTTCCCGAAGCTGAAAAAATAGCGATCGCGTTAAATGCATCGATTCGTCCAGCGAATGAATACTACGTCTGTGCCAACGTTATCGGTGTCCACCAGTACCTATACACCCACACGGAGCTCTTCGAGTCTCAAAGCGCCACTGTCACCCGACATCACCGACGACCCGAAAACAACGATAAAACACAAAGAAATAACACACACAGACAAGCAAGAATTCTAAATTGTTTCGTGTAGTCAGGCCCGGGATTTCGATACGAGCGCCTCGCGCGTACGATCTCGTCGTTAATATTTTTCATCGAGCCCCGAAAAAAGAAACGGGGAATCATAATAAGCCGCGTAATCATCCTTGATCCAGTCATCCCTCTGACTACGGGTATATAAATACGTCGTGATCCACGCGGGTCGTCGCGCAAAAAAATGAATCCAACGAAAGGGGCGAAGGGGAGGTTGGAGTCGAGGAAACCGTATCCGGAGTCACGTTGCGTCGTAAGGAACAACAATAAAGTGTCCAGCAACGGGGGACACAGAGACACAACGCAGCCAACGAGGCGAGTTGGGAGGGGGGAGGTAAATAATAAGAAGAACAGAGAGGAAACAGGTTTGCAGAAGAATGGGTACGAGGGTTCGTGGTGGCGAACGAAGGCGAGGAGGAAGAATACGAGGAGAGTAGGCTTGGACGGAGAGAAGAAAACCAAGGAACCATTTCTGCCTACCTTCAACCCCCTGGGCGTAGAAGGATGCTAACTGGGAGGAAGAGTGTAAGGGACGAGTTTTTCAGGGAATCTCTCCATGGGCAAGGGTGGACAGGGGTGGGCTCGGCGGTTTGAAAGAAACGGAGGAACAGTCGGGCGGCCAGGATGGAGAATAGTCTGCCGATGAAATAAAGAAGAAAAACACGAAACATAGAAAGGGGAAAGGGAGAGAGAAAGAGAGAGAAACATTGGAAAGACCAAGGGATGATGTACCGAGAGCCTATGCAATCAGCAGCCGCCGATTGTTTGGCGCCCGAGCGCAACGATCCGTGCACAGCACTGTCTGCCTTTTCGCGCTACCACTGCACAGCAGCAATGCTTGACGATTATGCACTCGCTTCTCCGCCGCCAGATAATTAGGAGTTAATTAACTAATGGCCTTTTATGCCGTACCCCTTCTTACGCTCTGCCCCTCTCTCTTTCCTTCCCGTAGCTCCATTCTACGATTCCCTCCTCCTCCACCCCCTTTCCACCCCTTTCCACGTACACCACCTTTCTCTCGTTTCGTCCCGTTTTCCTTCTCTATCCCGTGTCCGACCCTCACCTCCCCTCCGTACACTCTGGCTACGGTGGCTTCTGTCCGACCCCTTTAGGTGTACCACCGTTGTGTCTCTCCGCTTCTCGTCATTTTCCAATTCCCCCTCGCCTGGCACCAGCGTCCTTTGTGCTCCTTCTTACGACGCGGAGGAACGTTTGAATGCCAACCGCCCAGCAGCACCGCCGCGGCACACCGGTCCGTGGCTTTTCTTTTCTTTTTTTTTTTTTTTTTTTTCAAAAAAAAAAAAAAATGGTATACGCTCGCGCACGCCCGTCCTCTGATTCCCGTGGCCTTTTGTCGACTTTCCGACCGAGCGTGTGCAGCCGCGACCGCGACGATGCGCCGACGAATGGGCGGAATATCCACCAGTGCGCACGGGGTTAAAGTCGAACCTTCGATTATGATGGATCTTATTGGAGTTGTATAACCATGGTTCGCTTAGTGGAGTTTCGTTGAGAAAACTGATCGACGATATCTTGTCCTTATCGTCGGCTAACATTGACAACTAGAGGATTTTGTGGTCCCTGATAATGGCCACACGACGTCTTACAGATTGTACGATTTTTTAGATTGGGTCTTGGACTGGTGATTCTGTTTCTTTACCGTTTCATTGTAGTTGTCATTTGAGGTACAGCAAAATTCCGATAATACCGCATCAATGCTATAAATAAAAAAAAGTAAGTGTTATAATTTTATTTTCGTACTAAATATGGTTCGCCGATTGTTCGAAGGTTCCTCGGCACTGACAATAAATATTTCATAAACTAATGGCCACATACGACTGAAACAAATATCCTTGACTTCAGAATTCCAAACTCTATCACCGTGCTAAACCTCATTAAAAAGTCAGCGTTACACCTGGGGACTTTTTGTTAATGAGGAACCTTTGAACGCTCATCGAGGATTTACTGTATCTGTATCTGCCGAATCATTGAACGTCGTATTATTGGAACTCTACGGTAAATAAATATCATTCGCTCGGTACACAGCAAAAAATTTCTTTCACCCCTATCCTCCGGAATCAAGATGCGTTCGGTTAATCAAGCGACTCTTCGTTTCTCCGTCGACCTCGAACAAAAGTCACCCCCGTTAACGCGACTCTTGTCCTGGATGACGGCGTTACCATTCCCCACAGCCTACCCGTTCCTCCCCGTCTCGCGATTATTCTCGCGGAGCGACAGTTTCTCCCCGTTCCTCGCCGCGAGTTCTTCGCCCAAGAATCGTCCACACGTGGGAATTCACGGAGGCGTCCGTGGACAATGCTTGGCTTCGCTCGCGAACGCTGTTCCCTCGGAATATTTTCTAAAGCTACGTCGGCATTTTTTTTTTTTTCTTTCTTCCTCCCGCGAACGAACGGTCCGCCGTCAGGGGTGGTTTCGCGTTCGCGCCCCCGATGAATGACTAGAATCGGGCGATCTGATCCTCCGAGGACGGGCCATTCAATTTTATAATTACGAAATTGCTAATGGAGGAGAGAAGACGGCGGAAAGAGAGCCGTCTGCGGGTGATCGCGCGACAAGAGAGTCCCGGATGGGGATGTTTCTCTGCGTTCTGATCAGGGGCGGACTGGGCGGGCGAGGGAGGATTTTCAAACAGAGCCACGGAGCGTGTTGCATTGTCTGCCAGCGATCGATCCGGTCTCGTCGATGACGTCGTCATACCTCGAGCCCTTTCATTTCCGACAAGGGGCATTAGCCAACTAATCCGCCGTTAAGAGTTGCAGTTTAACAGATGTTACTTTTTTGTTTAAGTTTTTTTTTGTTCTTTTTCCTTTCAAGTGGATCGATGGGCACTGTTTTGTCATTATTTTGGTCTAGGTTGTAATATGTACTAGATCACCTCACTTACTGTATGGTTAAAATCGTTTTTTTTTTTTTTAATGCATCATAGTTCCTACTTTTTGACATTTTCGATTCTCTTGATAGTCAAGTTTCGGAGACAGCGAAGAATTTTCATGGGAAAGGCCATTGGCGAATAAGTATTAATGTGAATAAGAGATTATAATCTTCATTAATTTTTTGTGTGTACATTGGAATAATCATAGATGGATAAAATTTGTGATTTATTTATTCTTTAGTATTTTATTTTTTCTTAGTTAACAGAAACTAGATTTTCCGGTAATCTTTCAGATAATACTTCTCCAATCCACCGAGATATTATGAGAGACCGTATTATACGACTGTCAACAAGTACACACGGTTTACTTAACCGGGAGTTGATAAAAGTTCTTTTGGGCTTCTCTATCGGGAACATGACCATGTGGGGCTTTGCGGTGGTGGATTGAGGTCAAGCGAATACTTCTGATCGAAGGCAATATGTAATTTCCTCGCTTCCCTTTTACCCGCCGAACCGTTCGGTTTTAATAAAGACGTCATAATGATAATAGTATTATTAATATTATCATTAATATTGTTAACAATAATACCGTAAATACTCTTGGATAATATAAGAACAGATTGTAGAGGACTGATGCATAACTTGTTGGTTGTTGCAGCTGAAAGAAAGACTTCCTTGGGGAAAGACTGGCACGGTGCCTGTTTACGATGCGAAAAGTGTAACAAAACGCTGACACCAGGTAGCCATTCGGAACACGAAGGCAAGCCGTACTGCAATCATCCGTGTTATGCTGCCCTATTCGGTCCTGGAGGTGAGCAACAACTAAAATTCTTAAAGAAACTCGAGGATCTAATCAATACATATTGTAATTGTTATTAGTCTCTTCCTGTCTGTATATTTTGAAGTATTTAGTAAAGTAGTGCCATTTTGCAACAGGTTTCATCGTCATGATGTGTAATCCCTCTTTTCTTGCAGGCTTTGGACGAGGCGGTGCGGAGAGCTACGTTTACAAAAAGTAACGATCCGACAACAAACGGCGATAACTACTTACTGCTAAATCAAACGCGTTACCTGTTCCATAGAATTTATTGTTAATATAATACTAAACAGATCACCTAAGAATAAATGCGCGAAGTACAATGATTTCGTAAAATGTACGAATAGAACGCTACGAAATACTTAAGATGTTCAATTTTTTATAAGATTGTATTATGTATAATGTAACTTTTTACTAGTTACGTCGTTAAATAAAAATTTGCGTAAAAATCATTAAATACCATTCCAATTTCTTAACTGAACGCGATTTATTCTCGATAAATAAAGAAGGGGCCTACATTATCCTCCAACGATTGATTATTCTCGGTGCAGACAACAAAGAGATATGATTCATAATGTTTTGTAGTCATGGCAGCACCTATTCGTTTCACTTCCATGGATTCGTTAGCAAAAAGATTAATTTCCGTTTAGAATTATTGCCGTTTTAGTAAATTAAATAAGTTACCTTTTTGTAACATTCAATAATTCTAGTATTATCATTAGAATTTCTTGTTTTTTCTACTGATTTTTATCTCTAACTGAAACCGTTTTGTCATTTGATAGCAATTCTTTCTGAAATTGTCACATGCTTCTATATAGATGAAACTGTGCGTACAATGTGGTAAGAGACCCTGTGGGTGTGAAAAAGTGAGGTCAAAGCAATTCGGTGGAGGCGCCAGTGATCCCGTGTGGTCAGCTCGTGGGGTCATAGAACCCCCGGTGGAGGCGCTGAGACCCCGTGTGGTAAGAGCATGGGGTCATAGAACCCCCGCGGTGGCGCCACAGACCCCCCGTGCCGGAGAGCGCGGGGTCATGGAACCCCAGTAGGTGGCACCACAGACACCGTGTGGAGAGACCACGGGGTCATAGAGCCCCGCCCCCCGCGCCGCGGCGGAGGCGCTGTGACCCGTGTGACGAGCACGCGGGGTCATAGAACCCCCGCAGGTGGCGCCAGTGACCCCGTGTGGAGAGAACGCGGGGTCACAGAGCCCCCGGTGGAGGCGCCTGAGACCCCGTGTGACGAGAACATGGTCAAAATCTGATTGCCACTTGTGTGTGCTTCCGTAAGCAAATTATATAGTAACCCCAGCAACCATGGCAGTTTCTGCAGATACTACTACAGCCCAGGTTTAAAAGACGTAGGCAGTAGTTAGTTTCTGTAGAAACCTGTTGAACCAGACAACTATAATTAGTATAAGATTCTACACTGTTTATGCAGTTATATTTAAGACAATTCGATGAAATGAAGCTTATATTAACTGACGCATGTTTATAGGAATATACATATGTATACATATACATTATAATGTTATAAAAGTTTGAAATACAATACGATGCGCCACGGTACAATACGTTTATTCGATTCAATTGCTCCCTTGCGACTACAAGATCATGCTATCCGCGTTCGGCGCAGTGCGCTAATACGGAGGCCAACGATATATCACTGTAACACTTAAAAAAGTGTTAAAGTTCCATTTGTATCATTGTCCTGTGGAAATATTCATACTTCCAGTAGCATTAATATTCTAATCAATGAATTTACAGAATAAGGAAAAGGAATCTAAAGTAATTTT